AATAGGTTTCTGAATTGGAGAGGGGGCCTTAAAGCATTCGTTTTTCTACGAAAAGAAATACATGAATTTTCTAGGCGTAAAATTTCCTATACATGAATCTATCTAGACATAAAGTGAAACTTTTAGCATTGTATATCTCAAAAAAGAATTCCTCGTTTTTAAATGCGTTCGGAGTGCCAGCAAATAGTTCTGTTCGAAATAGGAGCAGAATAATTTGATATTAGTCGACGCCAATATGACATTTGTAATTTTTCCCATTTATAAGGATAATGTCTCTGCTTTTTCTCAATGATGGCGGTTAGTTGCTCTCTTAAAAATTTTTCATTAACTGTTGTCCAGTTATTTACAATGATCATCGGTAATTCTTGGTAGAGGCTGTTCAATGTTGAATTTTCCACAATCGGAATCACATTCAAATACAAGGCTTCCCATGTACGATGACAATCGATACCTATACCCCGCGGTGATATCCACATTGGATATTGACGATTACGTAAATAAATTTCAACGAGTTTATTGACATTTTTCTCGACACCTGGTTGTTTGTAGATACAGGAGGAAAAGTTAAACCATTCGCTTTTAGTCAAACTGCTGTTCTGTTTTGATAGTTTTTTTATATGAGGTGTAAAACAAGCTAGATGCCATAAACGATTACGAGTGCCAGTGGGATCGTTTCTCCGATAATAATTATGAAGAACAAATCTTTTAGAATGATTTATAGGTTGGCGTGTGAGATCCATCAAAACGGGATGCTGCTGGTTATAAAAGCTAAGCAAAAACACAGCTACTCATATGTAATAGAAACGTCGATCGTCATCTTGCAACAGGACGTCTTTCTACGACATTGTTGCATAGCGAGTGGTACTTTAGGATGGACTGGGAGCAACGGTGGTGTGTAGACTATCGAACCAGCACATGATTAAAAACCTCCGTCATCCGCATCTCTCGGAGTTGCTGAAGGGAAAAATCAGCTTCTTCAAAAAGACTGCTCTTCAGTTGACATTCAGGTTCTGAACTGAGGGTACAAACATCCTTAGAACGTTTCCTCAATTTTGCTAAGGTTAACTCAGAACGTGTTTCCACGGTTAAAAAGTTAGAATTTCAGAATTTCAGAACGAACTTTGAAAGAAGATTACATAGTGATCGTTTCCCATTCGTCCCCGTGCTGTACACTGTGGACATCCAAATGAATTCGATTCGAGATCTTTCTCAAGGAGGTCAACTTTAGATTTCCTTAGGGTCTACTTTAATCTTCTTTAAGAATCATGTCCTTAAGCAGAAAATTTACCATATGGACAAAAGCTCAGATGTACAGGTAAGTGTACTAACTTTTTTCTCATTAAATATGAGTATTATTATTTACTTACCTTTGTTGGTTTGTTACTTTTGTATATAACGTGCGAATAGCGGCAGCCATTTCATAGCAGTTTAATCCTATTGGTGTATGTGTAAATCGAATCTGGTCATCTGAGAGTATTTGGCCATTTTGTCCATACCAATGAAGGATTTTAGACGGTTCTGTAATGAATTTCAAATGTTCAGATTTTGGTACGCTCAGATCTCCTTCGCCAGTTATTAGTACAAAATGAACTCTTAAATGAGGATAAACTTCGTTGAAAAATTCATCCAATGATCCAGCTCGTACATAGATAATACTACCATTTTGTAAGACTTTGTTTATTTTATTTAGAGATGTAGAGTAAGTTTTTTCATTAAAAATAGATTTTGGCCATCCGTATACCCAATCAGCTATATTTCGAAAATTTTGTGGACAAACAAATTCTGGATAATTATTAATTGTTGATTCTATTCGGTTCGTCTTGGTATTAATGAACTTGATTTCATTCGTGGTATGTATCGTTTTCCAATGACATTCATCCTCTTTTTCTTCTGATTTATCCTTGTTTGTAAATAATACATGAAGAGCAAAGAATGAACTGATAATTAATAAAATGTAATATATTATACGCATTCTGAACATTTATACTTTTTATTTATAATAAATGTGCAATTTGATAGACATACTGTGCACATTCAGGTTAATATGTGAGTAATAATGTCGTTAAGGTTCATTATATTTTCGGCAATAAAGAGAATATAATTGATAATTATAGAGAAAAGTTATTCAGGCATGTCAAGCAGCATCTAGGCGATCACCTTTGTTCGATAAATAACAATCTCGACTCTGATCTAAAGTATCACCCATTTTATTCCAATTAGGATTTAAAATTTTTTTTAATAAAAAAAGAATTTTTGACAATTTTTATAAGTTTCTGATAAGATTCTTACAAGATTCATATATAAAATATTGCCCGGAAGTGATAAAAAATTCACTGCTTCTGAGAAGATTCTTATAAGAAACTATAAGATATTTATAAGAAAGTAACAAGCCGTCTTGTCATTGTCTTATGAATATCTTATAAGAATCTTACCAGTTTCTTTTCAATTTCCCATGAACTTCTTATAAAATTCTTATCTGATTCTGACAAGAAAACTATCGTGATTTTGCAGATCCAGTCCATATTCCTGTGTTTCCTTATTCAATGTGTTGCTCTCTTCAGCTGTTCTTATCGTGTTTTAAAACCATTACAATGCCTTATACTTGTTGAATAGGTGCATTTTGCTAGAGATCAGTCTGAAAAGGCGGAATTTATGCAAATGAGCGATATATCGTGCCCTGTATTCTCCTGTTACACAATGTTTTTTTTCAAACTTCATTCTTCTTCAATAGTTACGATAAAGTTGGAGAAGTACATCCGGTCTGCAAGCAGTGGACCATCAGGGCAAGTCTTTAGACTGCCCACTTGCGATTTAGGTCTTATTACAGAAAAACAATATCAAGAAAATTTGATTCCACTGTGTGAAAGCAGCAAATTGAATAAGGAAACACAAGAATATGGCTGGATCTGCAAAATCACGACAGTTTTCTTGTCAGAATCAGATAAGAATTTTATAAGAAGTTCATAGGAAATTGAAAAGAAACTGGTAAGATTCTTATAAGATATTCATAAGACAATGACAAGACGGCTTGTTACTTACTTATAAATATCTTATAGTTTCTTATAAGAATCTTCTCAGAAGCAGTGAATTTTTTATCACTTCCGGGCAATATTTTATATAAGAATCTTGTAAGAATCATATCAGAAACTTTCAAAAAGCTGATAAGTATTTTGTATGTTTCTTATGAGTGCTTTGTGAGATTCTTATATAAGAATCGATGTCCAGGGTAACTAAAGAACAAATATCTAAACGTTCTAACTATAAGGTAAGAGAAATGCTTGCTGTTCAGACATCGCTTGTACTTCTACAGCTGTCTCGAACTTACTTTGCGAAGCTTGCTCCAAATAGCTTTGTAGTGGAATGTTCAACATAATTAATTTTTTGATATTTAATATATAATTTACTTCATCATTGTTTCTTGCCGAATCTTCAAATAATCAACAAATAATCAAATATTTCAAAAGATGATCCGTTGACAGCGCGATAAAAATAACAAAATCTTATTGACAGAAAGCAAAAAAATAGCTTTTGAACCGATTGAAGAATTTCACTCGTAATTTTATGAAGCATACTTGTTTTATTATTTGATTTTTAAGTGATCACTTATTTTTGATATTTCTTAGTTCCCTTTTCTTGTTTGTTTTTTAATTCATGTACAGACGGTAGGCTTATTTCTTTTATAAAGAACCGATATTTAAGCAAAATTTATTGAGAAGTTTTGGTTTGCTTGTGTTCATCGCGCGTGAGAGTGGATATAAAAGTAACCGAAAGCTGATTCGCAGATAAAAAAATCCTATCATTGTAGATTCTTAAAATCTATAAGCAAAATTTCGACCGGGTAGATCAAGGACCGCATTATTTATATTAACGTTGAACATAGAGTTTCATTATAGTCTGAAATAACTTGTCAAAATTATTATCAAGGCGATGGTAAACACATGAAAAAAGTACCTATGGTGATCCTTATATTCATTCTGATGTACTTCGGAAACTCATAAATATGTTCTGAGACTGTCGAACAGTGTGTCACGCGATTCAGTTTTCAACTGATTCTGAACATCGTGTTTATTTTATTTCAAGACTCGCTTTCGATGAAATAGGTTTGAATTTCATATGTCAAATTATTTTGATATTGCATCGTGTAGAACAAGTGGTCAAAGTCATCCAGGGACCTGAGTAGGTGCCGGACATTGGGGGGGTGTAACGAAAGTTTTTTGTCCGAGATAGCGTAAACTTTATTTTAAATAATTACCTTGTTACTGTTCTTTTAAATTTTTTTTGGGGGGGGGGGTACACAGGCTCAATACCCAAAACGTTTCAGCCTTCTAGCTAATCTGTTGGGATGAACTATAGTTCACCAAAGTCTACTTGATGTATTTCATAATTTTGATTTCGTCTAGAGCTAATAAACTTTAGATGTCAATTAACAAAGCAGACTAAATGGATTGGTATACTGGCAGACCAAAATATGACAGAACGTTTACACATACCAACAAAGAAGAAGAAAAATGAAGAATATTTTTCATTTTCTCATATCTTTGTATATTCAATCGCTCTATTAGCTTTTGGTCTTAGTTGCGCTTGGATGTAAGGTTGAAATATCACATGAAATAAAACGTAATACAGATGATGAAAAATTTAAGCTGTAATAATTACTACACCGAATTCAACAAGATACACGACTGCCATCTTGTAAGATCCATGGTATCTTCATAGGACTTCAATCGTTTGACCATATTTTTATGTTCGTCTATAGAATCTGCGTACAGCCGAAGAATTCATTGGTAAATAGTACGACGGCTAAAACGCGTAACTGTCACCTTCATTTGCACTGGGTTGAAGGTTGAAACAAGAGAAATCTGCTAAGGCTATTTTAAAGAGCGATATCGAAAACATAAATATACAATATATTCACCTTGGTTTTAAGTTTTGTTGACACGCTCTAAAAAAAGTCGTAGATTAATAAACTATCAAAAAGAGTTTACTAAGACCAATAAACCTTTTAAAAAACGAAAAATACATCGACGAGAATATAATTTTTTGAGCTATTATCCATTTCAAAAAAGAAAGACCATGGCCATTTGTTTAATAACTGTTTCTAGGATGTAGCTACGAAGCTGCGGTTTTCACTAGTCGAAAGAAAAATGTTGGGGCAATAAGAAAACCAGAAATTATTGTCCCGAAACCACCTGCAGGTGGTGCGAAGATATTTTGCGAAAGATGTCACACCACTGAAAAAGTTTCGGATTTTAACTTTTGAGACGACAAGCAGGTAGCCCGGACTGAGATATCCGTTTCTAGAGCAGTCCCAGGTCGTTAGCTTAGGTTCCGGAGCTAGAAAGGTTGTCCGAAGACCACGCTAACTCGCTCCGAACACGTCGAAAGATCTCAGAAAGGCTTGAAACATAAGTTACCGAATGTGCTGATCAAAGTGGCAATGTTTGTTGTTGACTAGAAGTTGATCCAAGATCACCAGGGTATTTTTAATGAAAAAACGGATTTTTGCATGAAGCCTGTCAAAACTAGAGTTGCCGTGTATCAGCCATTTTAAGTCAGAAACACACTAACTTTTTAGGAAACACTTAGAATAGTGTATTGATGCTGAACGAGTTCTCAAATATGAGATTCAGCGGGTTTAAATGCCAGAGGGTTTCTGGAAACCTCTTGTAAAACCCACAATTTTGCAGTTTTACAAGCGCTATCTGATTTATGGCCATTTTTCATATATCTACCGAAAATTTGGTGTGTTTCTGACTTAAAATGGCTGATACACGGCAACTCTAGTTTTGACAGGCTTCATGCAAAAATCCGTTT